ATATATATCTGTGTGTGTGTGTGTGTGTATATATATATATATACTTGTCTGTTCCCCCCCCCCAAGGCCCCCCCAGTAGTACAGCGGTATGTCTGCGGACTTACAACGCTAGCAACCGTGTTTCGATACCCGTGGTGAGCAGAGCACAGATAGCTCATTGTGTAGCTTTGTGCTTCACTTCAACCAACCAAACACCCCCCCCCCCGATGGTTCAACGGAAACTTGAAGTGCTGTAGCGCCCAAATTCAAGGCTCGATCCCTACAGTTCACATAACTATTGCGCATGTTTGTGTTTAACAACGACCAACCTGTTGGTGAACATGTTTACATATATATATCGATATTTTAGAGCCCACCGATATAAAATGTATTGAGAATTTGGTTACTAAAACATATTGAACAGAACGTCAGGAACCGGCACGGCCAGGTGGTTAGGGCACTCGACTCGGAATCTGCGGGTTCGAATCCCCGTCCCACCAAACATGGTCGCCCTTTCAGCCGTGGGGGCGGTATAATGTGACAATTAAATCCCACTATTCGTTGATAAAAGAGTAGTCCAAGAGTTGGCGGTGGGTGGTGGTGACTAGCTGCCTTCCCTCTAGTCTTACGCTACTAAATTAGGGACGGCTAACGCAAATAACCCCCGTGTAGCTTTGCGCGAAATTTAAAACAAAGCAGAACATCAGCTTTCTACTGTTGACTTTCAGACATTTGTAACGAAGGAAATGAAGTTCGATTTTTTTCTCTACACTAACCTACACTTAAGTAGCACCATGAAAATATTGTTACACTGTGTTATTTATATTGCCTTTTGTAATTCTAAAGCGAAATATATTATATAAGATTATAACATTCCTGCACGCGATCTCTCATACCTGCTGTGAACGTTTAGGCTAAACCCATAACTTTGAAGTACAACATTTGTAAGCAACTTGTCTCTTGGTTGCTCGAAAAGGGTTAGTTAAAATACAAGTTGTTTGATCGAACTCAGTAGTACAATACAATTAACTGTGTCGCCACAATATAATTAATTGTGTCACCATAGTATAATTAATTGTGTCACCATAATATAATTAATTGTGTTACCATAGTATAATTAATTGTGTTACCATAGTATAATTATTTATGTTACCATAATATAATTATCTTCCCATAGTATAATTATTTGTGTTACCATAATATAATTATCTTTCCATAGTATAATTATTTATGTTACCATAATATGATTAGCTTTCCATAGTATAATTATTTGTGTTACCATAATACTATTAATTATCTTCCCATAGTATAATTATTTGTGTTATCATAATATTATTATCTTTCCATAGTATAATTATTTGTGTTACCATAATACAATTAATTGTTTTCCCATAGTATAATTATTTATGTTACCATAATATGATTAGCTTTCCATAGTATAATTATTTGTGTTACCATAATACAATTAATTGTTTTACCAAAATATAATTAATTGTGTCACCATAATACAATTAATTGTCTTCCCATAGTATAATTATTTATGTTACCATAATATGATTAGCTTTCCATAGTATAATTATTTGTGTTACCATAATATGATTAATTGTCTTACCAAAATATAATTAATTGTGTCACCAATGTATATCTAATTTTTCTCCTAGATGTTATGGTCAAATTCGCAAAATTATCTAATTTAGAGGTAATTTACTTGCCAGAAAGGGAACGTGTACAAAACTAGTCAAAGAGGGCGAAAAGAGAGGTGTTTTAGGATGTTAGGTCAACATTGGGTCAGTTTGAAGAGTGATTTTCTTGAACCCAGATTTAGCGCGACCCCATTTGTTTCGCGATGACATTTTATGGATCTCAACGATCGCGTTATAACGGGGCTACACTGTAATAAGTCTAAATATCATTTCTTTAGACAGAAGGGGAATCATTTACACTTCGCTCAGATAAGATCGACAAAAAAAATTTCGAAG